AACCCCACTAGATCCCACCAACAACACTGAGTGTCAGTGGCGGGGTTTGAACCCCGGACCTTTGAGCCCAAATCATGACAATAACAACCATTTAAAAAGTATGGTCATGAACAATGAGCGACCAAGATCAACCATGCAATTCCGTGTAATAATGGAAAATCGTTGAATAGGATCATAAATAATGTTGGACATCACTCTAGTTATTTAAGTAGACGAAACTCATTCGTNNAAAGCCAGAGAATAATTAAGCGATGTGAAAGATGCATTGACGGTTCAAATTCGACAAACCCACGTTAAAATTTAGGAATAATTCGCGACGTTTCCCGTCCACAAAACGTTCAGTCGTGAATAACTGTTTTCTACCACACAACGCACATTATCCCAATTCATTCAATGCCATGTTCCTCTAGTAGAGAAAATTTACCCAACAAAATAACAAACAGAATAAGCCCCTATCTTGTTTATTGCTTCTCGATCACATTCATTCATCTCGGTACCGATGCATTTTCAGAGAAGTCTCTGTCGACTAGTCGCTTGCATATCACCGTGCCATCGTTATTTGGGGATACTTCTTGCTTGCGATTCACCGGTTACTCAACCAGCACTGTCGTGCACAAAGCGGCAAAAACTCACATCGAAAAACCATTTACCGGTCTCGTGAGAGTCGCGGTTCCCATGCCCATCATGGAGTCCGTAAATTCACGGCCGAGCAAATGCTCACCCCTTCCAGTTTTCTCTCTTTGATCCCAACAAAAAACGGATTCAGGTAACTGTTCAATTGCTTGTCGGTACTCTCGACTCTCCATTGTCCGGGCGAAACATGCGATCTGACTGTATATCGGCTTACGGAAATCACCCAAGAAAAAAAATCATTCCGTCATTCTTCTTAGTTGGTGCCTACAATGCAGAATGGTGTGTGTAATGATCAAAGCAAATGCGTGATGAGCTCCGACTCTTTGACCGGTGTCAACTTGAGTCACAAGTAAGGCTGTGCACGGGCGAAATGAGGAAATAAGACAGTGATAACGGTGACCGGACATGTCCAAATAATGAACCAGTGAGTTGATCCAGTTGAAAACAGTGTGTGTGGGCCAGAGAAGAGCCCGGCTGAATCGATGTCTGATGATTTCGTTTAATGATCGGATGAGGCAATCTAGTTTGCTTTGGATAGTTTACTTTTGAACAAACACGCATACAGCAGGCAAGCAGAAGTGATAAGCTATACAGAGGAACAAAATGAAGTGTGTGTGTGTGTGTGCTCGATCACTCAAACAAAGAGAGAGAGGGAGAATGGAGAGAACGAACGGTATAGGAACGACACGTGAATAGCATACGAAATCGGTCGGTATTGTTTCAGCTCAACTAGCGATTCAGCTGGGCCGGTAATGTCAATATGATGGCAGTGATGGGAGAGAGAGAATTTCACGAAATTCGACACTACATATCCAGTCTAGGTAGACAGAGAGACAGACACACGGAGGAGAGATGCACGAGTAAACAGACTGAATGAGTAAGACCACATTATATAATAAGCATGAAGATGGATGTGCCCGGGGGCAATGAGTGCATTAGATAACACAATTTACAGCACGACCAAATATTTGCTCCCAGGGGGTGGTGGTGCTGGTGCCGATAATTCAGATTAAAATGATGTCCGAAATGGATACTAAACGCAAACCGACAATTGCTTTTGCGAGTGCTAAACATCTGCATCCGGCCTGCTTAAGCTATGACGTAATATAATCACCGGTAATCACGACGACCAACTGACGAGTTGCAGAAGCTGCTAACCTAAGCACTGGAATTTGGATTTCAAAAAGAGAAGGCATCGGGTTGAACGGAAACGGAGGAGCTGGATGGCAATGACTAATTTGAACATCGAATCTGAAGCGACTTGAGTCACGTAACCACCACTGTCAGTAAATGGCCGTGCTTCCGGTAGCTAGACAGTGGAAATAGGTTGTGGATTTCTTGTCATAGGCAGTGAACGGGTAATTGGGCACGTTCCAACTGCAACCGTTTTGTATCCGAATGCGATAAAATTAACTCAAGGAGCCTGTTATGAGGAGCTGGACGAAGTGGATGATGTACAAGTTTAAATCTTTCCAGAGCAACCAAACTCGTAATTTTTTTTCATTACACACCTAAGTGTGATGCACAACAGATGGGGCGAACCCCGTAGTCACGACGAGATTGCACCTTGACGTGATGTGATGGCTTGTGCACCTCTGTGACCCAACGAGCCACACAGGATGGCTTTTTTCAAGCCGAAGAATTATTCATGCCTGGAAGATCGAAGGGTAGAGGTTAGACGAGGTTCAGTCTCCTGGTCCTCCAGGTTGGGGGTTCGATTAGAATTAGTGTTTCAGTCGGTAAAAAATAGTAGAAGAGTAATCAGTAAATGGGCCTCCACTTCGCTAAATCCGCTGCCTTTCGGTTAGGTTCTTGTCAGAACTAAAGGCTTTGGTTGAGAACCTTAATCGTTCTCCTGCTTAGTGACTGGACACCCTAGTAGTAGCTGTCCATCAAACCCCAGTGCATATGCATTACGAGTTTGGCAGCGATTAGTGAAGTTCACTTCTCACTTTCGCTGTACGATGATGATGATGAGAAGGAGGAATTGGTGTTCAGTGGGGGAAACCGGTAACCTAAGCCCCGGGACTTGGAGTGGCGAACCACATAAGGCAGCCATAGGTTCAGTGTGGTATTGAACCGGACGACAGCAGAGCTGCCTACAAACTAGTAATGGTTGTGAGTGGATAATATCAGTCAATGATAGAGCATATAAGCAAAACAACTGATACCGGGTCGGGATATCTCTGTAGGTTATCCATACATAGTAACTGTTTATATAGCTGAAGACATAGATCAACAAGTTACACAGGCCTATAGTAGTGAGCCTAAAGTCGATTGGCCGATTTAATCAACAGATACTGAAGGTCGTGAAGAAAAGAAACTTCCATTCGTTTCGTTCGTGTGCTTCCACGGGTGATTTGTGCAATCACAATACAAATACCGATCACCTGAACAACAAGACAACAGCCAGATGTGCGTGTGCAAACGACCCTGAGGGTGATGACGAGACCAACAAGTTACCAACTGAGAGGCTAGGTCCAAAGTCAACGCACGCACGGGCTGTCCTCATTATTGTGTCAATACGTCCTCGGCAAATCGCACACGTTATACACCAAACATAAAGGCTGAACACACGACCGACCGACCGGATTTATTTGGCAAAGATGTGAGCAGACAACTGGGGCACAGTGTCAGACAGAATTGTTGGACGGGCGAATCGCCAAGTAGAGTACGCGGATATATTTTCGCATGCAAACAACAAGTGAATAAGCCCAGGGTGAACAAACACCGAGACAGAGAGAGAGAGAAGCAGGCAAGCCGGAACCCCTCTTGAACACAGGTCGAAGCTACTGTAAATGACTGGATGCGAATCGTTGCCAGTAGGCTAGGAGATGTTGATTGAACGCGATAACTGCGACCAGTGACCGATTATGTTCCATCAACCACAGAATGTGCCTCGTGAGTAGTAGGCCAAATAATGAGCATGAGAACAAAGTGAACAGTACCACTTGAACAGCTACTCAAACTGATCGCCATTGTGACTTTTGTGTTCAGATGCTTGCCGGAATTCCGAGTTCTTTTTCCACCTTGATTCCGGCGGCAGAGGGATGGGGACATCAGCGTTAACAACAAAAAGGCCAATTCGAAACAGTGCATGCAATTATCTAAAACGGATGCGCTCAGCTGAGAGACATCTGCAGGTATGTCTCTCTCTCTCTCTCTGTGTGTGTGTAGGCGATTCCCAAGTCAAGGATAGTGGATGGAGTGAGCTGGACAGTGTGTGTAAGTGTGTGCGATAAACACATTTGAGCTCAAAAAGATAAATTCACTGTCGTTCCAGGAAATATGGCACCAGTTAGAAGAACTGGATGATCGTCAGAAATTAAGGAACGGGGAACGATATTCGAAGACTATCTGGGGAAGTGACTGTAAACGAGATCACTCACCGGTTTTTAGCACCCAAGAGATGACATGCAAACAAGACGATGAGATACAAAACGAGGAGACTTTGTTCTCTCATAGAAGCGGGATAATGACGTAAGACTGGAATTGCACTGTTGAAGTTCCGTTGAGAAAACTCAAAACTAGGGTTGTATTGGAAGACAATATGCACAGATCATCAACAGAAGGATCACACAAATTCAGACACTATGACGTAAACCAATCAAGATAACTTCAAGTATACGTATAAAGGTGTTGATCGAACCCGTGCAACATGGTTCTCATTTTGAAAATGCAACAGTATATTTGTATATTGATGGCTATGGATGAAGAGTATTCGGCGCGGAAAGTTGGACACTACGGGAACAGGAAACAAATAGACTGTCGGTGTTCGAACACCGCTGTTTACGCAGCATTGCACGAATCTAGTGGGGCAGCCGGACGAGCAATGCTGAGGTTAGACGCAGAGTTTTGGGTAACCTCGGGTGTCCACTGGAGCAAGTGGTCGACCTCTATAGGTTATGTTGTTTGTGGCATGTGTTGCGCATGTCACCAAATAGGTTGCCACGGCGAGCGATGTTCACCGAGGTAGGCAGTGGGTGGAAGAAAGCCAGGGGTGGTCAAGCTAAGACCTGGAATGAGGGTATGAAAACCCTAACCAGCTGTCTCGGTCACATAGGTCCCGTTGAGCTCCCTGGTTGGGGACCTCGGGATGATCTTAACCGATGGTTAGAGACACTGAGTGATATGGTTGAGTGTCGTAAACAGTGGCGTTCGTGCATCTTGTCGATTTCTCTGCAAAATTAGTGCAATGAAATCCTAAATTTTCTCTCCGATCCTACCTTCAACCTTTCCTGTCTTTCTGCTTAGATTTACTCAAATGGGTAGCCAAAAGACAACAACTAAAACCGGCGCACGATAGTGCATGGTAAATGGTTGTCGAAACTGAACTGAACTGAACTTATCTCCCACTGCTAGGTTTTTAGTTCTCGTGTATCACGGCAGGAATTTGCGCAACCTTGAGTGTTGAGATAATAGTAAAGACAGTAATAGTTAGTAATGGTTCGAAAGTTACAGCTCACAATTGAAATATACTTTGTTTATTTTGTGCTCCAAAATAAAGGCAAATAGAACATTGACAAAATGGAAGTATAATACCTGTATCATGTTTATGATCCATTTTTACAAGTGAATTCTAATTATACTTCTTACTGGAGCTCTGTTAATTTAGAACCGGTTTACCAGCAACCGTCGTCGAAGTCGAGAAATTGTACCTTTTATTGTCGTTCGATTAATAGAAGCAAAAACATAAGTGGGTGTTTGTAGAGAATTTGCGCCTGATGTGGGGCACTATCATATTCAATCCCCTGAATGAGGCTCGAAACACCAAGTATTGGGAGGAACAAATGTGATAAAAATGAGGGTGTGACACGAGTTTGATCAATACCTGTATACTACTTTTTGTAACACATTCTACAAAGAAACTGAAGTCAAGTTAGTTGCCCATCTAAAGAACATACAATCATAGAGTGGATTCATACATGAACTGGTTCCGAAAGGCCTATCCAAACAAATTTACCCGGTGTTACAAATGAGATATTTGAGTCAAAAATACACTTCCTGGGTACAAGCATAAGAATGAACTGACAAAAGACGACCAGTTACGCAGACCTGACAAGCGGTAAGAACCGCAAGACCCGTGGTGCTTCCAGAGAAATACTACTTACCGTAAAATGCATGTTACATGACAGTAATGCGGATCTGACTTAATTTGAAAGAGGGACTGCGTCGTGTATAGAGCGAATAGAGCGTGAACTGAAAAGCTGAGGCGCTGTAGACCAGTTTCGATCGGGTTGGATCTCACCGGCTCTGCGAATCCATCAACCCACTTTTGGATCGGACCCGGGTCCTCACAGGCAGAACGCAAGCATGCTACTCAATCGAACACCGGGCAACTGACCAGATTGCGATTCCTTTGCTATTTAAACGAGACCCAACCAGGTGCTTCCAAGCCTTTCGATTCACACTTCATTCGCTCTATACACGACG